CCCAAAAGATTTGAGAACACCTGGTTTAAAGTGTGCTAACCTGGTTACACCTGTTTGTCTTGTATCGTAGTGTCTTATATTTAACAGTTTTGTAATATGAATGAATGAATGAATGAATGAATGAATAGGTTCAGCTTCATCCTGACCTCTAGCAGTGCTCTCTGCACAGTGAGCTGACTGTACACTCTGGCACCCTCTTCTGGAATCACAGCTCGCAGCTCATCCTTGTTGAGTGAGAAGAGCTGTGCTCCTGTCAGCACCCCCAAACATTTCACCGTCCTGGGGGGGAGGGGCAGAAAACAGGGAAAAAGTTCAAAGTCAAGCTTCAAACCAAGAAAGCAGTGAGCTGTTGTTCTGGTTGTGACATCACTCACGGTTCACTAAAGCCCTTCCCTCTGAGCCACTCGGCCACTTCTTCGGGAGAAGAGTGGTAGTCCAGGGGGACGGTGGTGCCTGAAGAGCGATGGATGACGAGGGGCTTCTTCAGGCTGACCTTTCCCCTGGTCAGCCTGTGGAGCAGCTCGTCGTTCACCATCACAGCTGGGAGAGGAGGACACGAACGCTCGTTACCTTTTAAACTTTAGTGGACCAACAGTACTGTGAGCTCTTTCTTACCTTTGTCTGCGTCATCTGTGACTGGCGCGTGCTGGGAGTATGGCGGTAAGCTGCGAGGGTGCTGTGGCGAGTGGGAAGGAGTGAGGTGCTGAACAGGGGGGCTTGGTGGGATTACAGACAGAGTCTTGGGGAGKGGGGGTGCAGCTGGAGCCTGCAGGAATGAGGAACGGTGGAAAAAAGTAATGTGAGAATGCAGAGCTAAGAGTGATTTGTGTGCACAGGTTTGTGTGTGGGTGGATATTCCCTACTATGTGGGGACCATTTTTGGCACACATGCCTATTTGTGGGGACCAACTGGTTCCTATGGGGACCTAACCCTGGACCCCATTTGGGGAAATGCCATTGGAGGGTTGAGGGTTAAGTTTAGGACTAAGGTGTGTACCTGTGAGGTTAGTTTAGGGAAAGGGGTCAGGGTTAGACTGTAGAAATTATTGGAAGTTAGTGAGTGCTATGTCCCCATAAAGATAGCTGTACTAGACCATGTGTGTTTGTCTTACACTGGGGGGTCTGCTGGCGGTGGGGCTTTCTATGTGAGCCGCAGGTTCCAGGATGTTAAAAGGCACAAAGCCGACCTGATTGAAACGATTACGACACTTCCACCAGCGCTTTGATGACTCGATCACCTGACAGAAACACACACAGTTACTGACGTCTGCACAGATCCTGTGAGAAGGAGAGTTTCTGCACACAAGCCCTTCTGAAGCCCTTCTGACCGTCTTTTGTTTATAAGGTTGTTGTGAAAATCTCACCTCCAAAGTCTCTCCCTGCTGCACTGACAGCTCACTGCTGTTTCTGGCTATGAAGTCGTAGCTGCAGCTGTAGAGTCTCTCACCCTCAGGGGGGAGTGTTTCTCTAAAAAGGCACAGAAAAATACAAAGTATTTCATGAAAATCGTGAAATGAGACCATTTAACTGATGATCATAATAAAAATCACCCACGATTCATTGCTGGTGTAGATATTTGGAGATCCATGTGACTGAGAGGGTTGCTGCTGTGGATAAAGGCAAGAAGGTGATGAGGATTTGTGCCGAGAACATAAACATTTGTTGGTAATGGATTAGGATCAGTAGACTAAAACAATTAAAACAAAAAAATCTTGTTCTTTTTCATTCTTGTAAAATAATAAGGCAAATAGTTTTTATAACTTTAGCTCTGAAAAAGTTGGGATATTAGCAAAAAATGTAATACTAACTTGAATGCAACTCAAACTTGGGGACAGGATGAAGTTTATACGTTTTCACAGACCGGTGAACCTCTGCCCATCTTTACTTCTGACAAATTCAGCCTCTCTAAAATGCTCCTTTTATATTCTCACACCTGCTGACTTATTGACCTAATTTGTGGCTAAAGGCTTTTTTAAGCAGTTTTTTTTTTGTACCACTTCCTTTTGTTGCCTATCCCCACTTTTTGAAATGTGGTGCTGCTAAAAAATTTATAATGACCTTAAAGAACATACAATTTAGTTWAAACATCCAATATGTTTTATGAGGTTTGCAAATCAGATTCTGATTTAGTTTTGTTTTATTGAGATTATATATCTAATATAGTAATAAATAAATGTAAAAGATAGATAGATAGATAGATAGATAGATAGATAGATAGATAGATAGATAGATAGATAGATAGATAGATA